CCCTAACCACAGGACTTATTTTGCTCCATCAATGTACAGTATCTGTTTAGCCATGTCCTCAGAGTTGAACAGAAGGCTCAATATCAGGTAGAAACATTTACCTGAAGTTACAAAATTCATTGTTCAAAGATGTGGTAATCATGTTTTTGGTAAGATTTTACTCTGAGCTGCAACCCAGTGTAGGCTTAAGCTGTGATTATCCACATTCGTTCCAATGAGGTCATACAGTGCCCAATTCTATTTCAGATTATACCTTGCATGTTATTAATTTAGTTTTCCAAGTGGGTGATCTGCAGATGTGTTGGATTATAATTCCCACACTGTCCACACATGTCAAGAATTATAATCTAACACAACCAGAGTGCGCCAGTTTGGAGAAAGCTATTTTAAAATATTCCATCTCAGTGACATATGTCATACAAGGACGTACTATAAAATAATAACCAAGAGTGTCTCCGATTCAGAGACACAAATGGCTTCAGCACAATAGCCTTTAAGGAACCTCCAGCTCATGGACCAGTTGTGGATCTCTAGGCTTCTTCATCTGGAGTTTATACTCTCTAAAGGCCCCTACCCCCACATCTTCGTTCTAGGTTACATTAGTCATTCCACTCAATAGCTAATTAAATATTAAAACTAGGTTAAAAAAAACACAATTGCTGTGTTGATATTATATGCTATGACCAAGCTATCCAGCCCCCTATTCAGTCTAGCATTTTGAATGAACCTGTTTACTCCGATATGGAGGAACCTTCACAATTCAAGGGAAAATTATCTGGTTACAGATACACCTCCTTTTTTGTTTTTTTTTCTTTTTGGTGCTTTCAGGTCAGTCCTGACAAGTCCATGCAATTTGCTTGGCAGCATTTTCAGAAGGGGCTCACCATTCCCTTTTTCCTAGGGCTGAAAGAGAGTGACTGGCCCAAAGTCACTCAGCTGGTTTCCAGGACTAAGGCAGGACTAGAACTCAGAGCATCCCAGCTTCTAGCCTGGTGCTCTTAACCACTTCATCAAACTGGCTCTCCTTTGTTTTATTCCTGGTGCAAATATAAGGGAGAGGGGTGATTCTTTTTGAAACCATCATGGACATGGGAAAATAACTAAAATATTCATTCTCCAGCTACTTGCTTTTAAAACGTTTCCCTCTCCTTGTGTAGGGGTAGGGAAGATTAAAAAGGAAGAAAAAACTCAATCGACTGGGTTCACACAGGACAGGATCCTTAACCTTAACTTTAGTTTAAAAAAAGCCAATTGCTATGTTCATCTAATGTATTATATCCAGACAACCAACCAACCGACCGACCGACCGACCGACCGACCGACCAAAAATCCATATCATGGTCTAACATGAGTACCATTATATCTTAAGACAAACAGTGAACCACAAACTACTCAATCCTGTGTTCAGTCTAGCCTAACATATTATGGGACTCCAGCCCATCATGGGCTTAGCCCCCAGGTAATGCAACCCTTGCCAAGAGGACAATTTCCCATCCTGTAAGGCATCAGAGCTTCTTAGGCACTGTTTCCCAGTACCAGCTAGAAAGGGAATGCAAGGGGCACTTAATTAATATGGCAAGTATTCTATGTGGGCTGCCTTGGAAGAGTTTTCAGAAATGTCAATTAATAGAAAAATGTAACAGTTAAGTGCCTGACTGGAGCAACCTGGGCATAATTCCAGGCCTTTCTTCAAACATATACAACCCCATGCATTTTAAGAATTAGAGATTTCATGGACTGCTTATTTCTATATAAACCTCTCTCTAACTGTGAGATTATTTTGGACTGTAAACACGATGGGGCAAAGGGCTGTCTTCTTATAACTCTGCTTCGAACAGCTGTAGAGTATACAAATTTCCCCAGATGTTTTTTAAAAATTATTATTATTATTACTGTTATTATTATTATTTAATGTATGGTTTATTGAAATGTCCTTTCTCTGCAATAGCACAATCCCTTCTTCCAAAGGCTTCTTTTGCACTTCTTCCCCTGAATTGCACCAGGATATATACAGTACATGTCATGGGCCAGGGTTTCCAGTTGTACATCATAGGCATGCTTCAGGACAGACATGTTTTTTTTTTCTTTTTGCAGTCTGGGCTGCAGACCATCCTGATGGATTACAGAGGTGCTATCAAAGTGCATTATCAAGCTCAACATGCTTAGCGTCATCTGAGATGAGTTCCAATGGTCCCAAAATTCACACCTATGAATTGACAGGCTGCTCTATCAGTCTCTGCTGATTTGACCTGTCAGACATACATTGGATCCCATCATGCTCTGATCCCTGGTATAGAAACTGAAAACACAGGAAATATTCCCTAAACTGAAAAAAAGAAGTTGGGAATGTGGATCTTTAAAATCTCTGCATATTAGTTATGAATCCCTTTCTTTGATAAAGACCCGTGAATTATGATATGATATGATATGATATGATATGATATGATGATACAGCAACAGTAGGACTGCCTTTTTTGACATTTCCAAAGACAGCTAAACACAGACTCCACAGCGTTGCTGCATCCTTCCTCAAAGTTTGTGGTGCTGCTGCATTTTGGATCGCAGAAGAGTAAAGTGAGAAGATGACTTCTGTTTTCTTTGACAACCTCTGTTGTCTGCACAACCCAGATGGCTGAACTTCAAAGAGAAACTGCAGAGGGAAGAGCCAGCCCAATTCAGGAAATGTGGAGGGAAAATGTGGGAGGACAGCAATGAGGACACACACAATTTCTTGCCAATAAAAGAACACCCCAAAGGCCAGGCAGGAAACAGACTGTCCTGGGATGCTGGGCTGGGTTGCAAATATATTGCTGTAACTCTGACCATTCAGTCAAGTAAGTGCTGATGCTCAGGCATAATGATTTAAGATAGATGTTCAAAGCTGATGAATTCTAGTATGAATTCTTTTCTTAGAGGAAAAGCCCCCTTTCTCAGACAAATACCTTCATACCTGTTTCTCAAGGAAAAGAAACATTGTTCCTTATATTGGGGCCCTCCAGATGTGTTAGAGGACAATTCCTGTTCAGCGCAAAGGGAAGGCACAACCTTCATCACAGAAGGTTGGCTCAGGGTTTACAGCTCAAAATAAAACCAAAGCCACAACTCCAGAATTCAAACTGCAACAACACAACCAACTCTTCTGTTTTTGACCATTGCTGTCTATGTCTAATGGGCTGTGAGAATAACCTCGAGGAACAGGAGGAAAAGCCGCAGCCAAGGCAATGGTCAGATAAGAGAAATCTGAGTCCAAAGCAAGAATGGAATTTGAGAAAGCCTCTCAGACTGGACCATCTCTAGTTCTCTTTGGGCTAAAGGCAGGGAGGGGGAGGCACATTCAGAGTTGCAAGATTCTGTTACTGTAATCCTATAATAAAAGTAGTTTTAGCATTCATGGCTTTGGTGTTCAAGTCTGGTCTGCCATGCTGCAACCTTGGTATCAAATTTCCAGTAATGATCCAAAATGAAGATGCCAGTGGAAAGTAGTGCCCATATTCGACTTAATAAAAATCAGATAATGGAAATGGATTGGCCATGTGCTGAAAATGCCTGACAGCTGACAGCCAAAGCTGGTCTTCACCAGCTCCAATTAACCTACATGGACCCCCCGCATAAATAGTAGGGGGATTCACATTACAATGAAAAGACTCATTTGAAAGGAAGCAGAAGTCATTGTACTGAAGCTCCTCATCCTTAACAGGAAAGAGTACTGTATAGCAGAAACTGACAAGTTCACCTAACTACAATCACGTCTGACTGCATAGAGTGGAAGCAAATTATAAAAGAAACGAATGTACCTCCCACACCACGAGATGCCCATACCTGAGTGGACAGGCATAGCTGCAATAAGCAAAATAAGCAACTCCAAAAGTTTTTAAATATTTTTTTAAAAACTGTGCAAACCAAAGCATATATTTTTTACTGGGATCCCTGTTCTGCTCTTGGCTGCTTCTACTCGCATAATGTTAAAGAATCATTATGAAAACATGTGAAGAATCTGACTGTGATTCACTGCAAAAATCTCCTGTACCAGAGCTGACTTGTGATTTGCCCAGCCAGGGTGGCTGGGGAATTCTGGGAGTTGAAGTCCACACATCTTGAAGTGGCCAAGGTTGAGAAACGCTGCTCTAGATGCATTGAATTATGACTCTCAGACTTCCATTGCCTCGCGACCAATGGCCATGCTGGTTTGGCATTTTGTCCATGTATATGGATAATTCAAAATGTATGAAAAGCAACAGGTGGTTGTATTGGCACGATGAGCAGATTCTGAAGAACAGTCAAACAAAGCGCACGATTCGCTGGAAAATTTTCCAGGGCGAGTATTCTCTTTCAAAACTCAATGTGTGCATAAAAAGATCCTGGTGATTATGCCTATGATGAACATCAGGGCTGCTTTATACTGATCCGTAGCAGAGCAATTTGATCTGACAAGCTTCGCATATTGTGCAAATCTAATTCCTGGTGGTTTACAGTTCATTTGAGCCTCCTCGTGGGCTCGTGTGCTAACTGGGCCAACATGCTTTGAGATCATTGGCACGGGACGTAGGGTTCGTATTATTTCTTTTACATTTGTGCATTCTATAAAGTAAATGTTTTTCGCTTCGATTTCACCTTGTGGGAAGCAAACTACTGCAAATACCTGTTCTGATTATTTTTAGTCACTGTGCTACAATTTTGTAGAGAAGATTGATATATTTTTCATTCCTTCCCCTGTATGTTTGTTTTGATCAGCAAAAGCCATTACAAAGAGACTGTGTGTTCTGTTTCTAGGTTTTTTTGGCACTGGCTGCGTTCTCAGATAAGCCAAGGGCTCCCCAGGAGCTTCCAGATTGCAAATTCGGATTTGTAACTAACTTTGGCAAAAAAAAAAAAAAAGGCAGTTCTAGCTGCCTTTCTTAGTTTGGCCACCAGAGAGTGCATATCTCCACATGAGTTCCAGCCACAAACGGTCCACCTTCCCCAAAAAACTTTTTAAAACTCCAAACAACTGGAACTTTTTGCAAAGCACAACAACACTCCAGCCCTTGGACCTGCATCTGGTTCAGTACTACATATTTTCTGCTCTGCTTCCCATGCCTGTTGTTGTTCCATTCACCATCTGTGGTGAACTTCCCAGTCACCAGCTTTGCTGGAGATGCTGAGGGTTGGATTTGGAGAAAGCATCTGAAGTCTTTTGTCGCAAGGAGTGGGGAGGTCTGCAGATGACTCCACAGCACCTCCCCTTCACCTCCAGTTGACTATGGAAGGGGCTGCTATATATGCCTAGCTGGCTTTTTCCCTTTCTTCTGGGTTGGAAGAACCTGACAAGAAAAACACTGATCTTCTTTCCTCTCCTTCACCATGTCATGTGGCAGGAACTAAGGAGTTAAAGAGTCAAGTGCCTCGGCTGCCAAGCAAGCTTCCTTCAGGTGAGTAGCACATCTTATATCTTGTTATTGAAGAGACTGAAGCATTGGTGAGATTATGGTTTGGTTGGGAAGGCAGAAGAACCTTCTGCTGGTGAAACTTAGGGCCTTTTCCCCCTTGTGCAGAATCATGCTACAAGGTTGTTCTGGGCCTGGCAATATCATTTTTCTGCCTTGTCCCCGTGACTTTGACCCTGACCTTGACCTCAATTGCTGAATGAGATGAGCTTAAGCCATCCTTACCAGTAAAAGCCATCTCTTTTAGCCTGATGCCATCCAAAGTCAGCCCACAGGTATATCAAATTTGCTAGGTGTTTTAACCCATTACAAAATCAGGTGATTGGTAGGAACTGCAAACAGAAGCAGTGGAGATAGGATACAGAGAGGCAGTGCAACAGCAAAAATCATGCCAATGTACTTTTCTGCCAATTCAAGGTGCAACTTGAGCACTTCAGTTCAGCATTGGAGGAAAGCCCTTAGTCACCTGACTTCTAGCATAGTGCTGGATTGCTTTTTTTCCTCTTAGCTTCACTTCCCTATCTGTGAAATGGGAATAATTGTGCCTAACTTCACATGGACAGGGCTGAAGTGGGAAGAAAGAGGGGACTTTACATTAATTATGCTGTCTCCCCTCCCCTCCCCTCCCCAGCACTTCTGCTCTGTTTTAATGATCTTTCAGTGGGGCATATGAACAGATCCTAACCTCATTCTTGGAGAATGGTGAATTAAAAAAAAGAAGAAGAAGAAGAAAGACAACATCCTGCCTCTTGAAATGACATTTTTCCTGAAACAAACAAAGAAAACGCTAATTCCTATGGAATTCAAACATAGCCCCAAATAAATCAAGGAAATATCATTGCTTAGCTACAACAATATCAGTCCATCTATAGAAACCTCCGATGGGGCAGAAATATGGCTGCAAGGAAAATCCAATGGAAGCGTCTGATTGTGATGGAGACGCTGACAAATGGAACTGGAGACCAGAGGAGAGGGAATAAATTAGATATGAAGGGGATTGTAGGTCCAAGAACATACTTGGAAGGACCATGGTGTTTTAAGCTTTACTATTCCGTTTTTTGTATCTTAAACTCTATCAAAAATTTTGTTAGAGAATCTGGATTCCACCATAACAGAAAGTCCAGAAGGATATGACTATGTTTTTACAGCAATTCTGATATTATATTTAGAATTTACAATAAATATTAAAGAAGTAAACGTTCAACAATTTACATTATTTTTGGATTACTTCTGACTCCCACCTATGGTATATGTCTTCCTGGTATGGACTAAAATGGAAGGACTTCAGTCAGCCAGAAGAGTCTTCACACATGCTAAGACATGGTTTATTTTAACCATGGTTTATTAAATACACCATTATTAATGTTATTTACTTATTTAATTTGATTTATGTGGCTGCCCATCTCAGTTTTATGTGACTCTAGGTGGCTTACAGCATAATAAAATAAATAAAATACACAATAGAAAAATAGAAAATAAAACTAAAACACATAGCAGCTGGGCATACAGTAATCTAACCTATCATCCACACAAGTAGGAGATGGGCTCTAACCGAGACCCAGGGCCCCAGGCTCAGGCACAAAGGCAAGTTTTCAAGGCCTTATGAAAGGCCAACAGGGACAAGACCAATTAATCTCAGGGGGGATGATGTTTCAAAGGGTGGGTGCCATGGCAGAAAAGGCGGGACTTCTGGGCCCTGCCAGCCAACACTCCCTAGCCAATGGTACCCAGAGTGTGCTCCTTGTGCCAGATTGGGTAAGAGGGGTAGAAACAATTATATTCATTCATTCATTCATTCATTCATTCATTCATTCATTCATTCATTCATTCATTCATTC